AGCTAGCTCTGTGGTCACGTGGGTCTGATGCTCATTAATTATACAGAATTTTAGGCTTTTAATACACTTAAACAGAAGAGTGAGAAAAAAATTCACGCCCCTCAGAGTTGTCATGAGTGTAAACTAGATCATTTAAACCAAAAACATGTTTTGGTACCAGGCTGTAAACATGTTTATTTCTGCTGTGAAATTGGTATTTTTAACATGGGAGTCAATGAGGATTTGCTCGCTTCTGACACCAGCCCCTAGTGGATGAGGGTGGAACTGCAATTTTTGGTACTTCCAGGTTGAGACCAATTTCAGAGCTGCATTGTGGGGGCTTGGTGGAGAAGGACTCTGAGGCAGGCATGAAGGAACAGTAACTTTAGGCTACAGCAGCTCTCACAATAGCCTCTTATGGACCATTCCAGTATTTAAAAGTTATGTACAGATGCTTACAGTGTTTCATAATATTCCTAATAATTGTAAGTTAAAAGCTAATACATTTCTGATTCTATTGGTTTATTATTCTGAGTAGTGACTGTCTAAACCTCATTACAACCCTCCTACTTTAACAGAGTGTTGTAGCTAGGGCTGCTCGATTATGGCAAAAACAATAATCACGATTATGGTGACTGAAATTGAGATCACGATTATTTAGGACGATTTTTCAATTTATGTTGATTTTATTTGTTTTTATTCAGTCATAAAACTGCTCAGGGCACAATCAGGACAAAAATAAGAAACAAGATGATCACTAAAATAACTCCTGATTCCCAGGATAAAAAGACCAATATACTTATAGCTCATAGTCTATGACCCAAGGGCTATAGAACTTGGTTTAACTCATGTAAGTCTAACCAGTACAGACCCAAATACCAATATCTGGCAAATACTGACAGCAAGAATTATACAGTGGTATTTATAACAAATTAACGCAAATAAATTGATGTTCACAAAATGTTGCATAACATTTATTGAGTCGTGTCAAGGTGCTGTAGGAGAGTGCACTAGCACCGTGTCCTCAGAGAGATTAGTTATTATTTATCAGTGTGAGGAACTTATTTCTACCTTATTTGTAAACTATTTATTTACAGGTCGTCCATCAGTTAATGTAATAATTGTCCCAACCACAGCTGCACCCCCCACCCCCCAACCCGGTCTCAGCAATCGGGGCAAGCTGCACGTGTGTTTAGCACGCCGCACGTGCACATTTAGCTGTTTTTAGCGGCTCAGGAGTCCGTAGGTACGGTGTGTGTGTCACTCACTCTGGTTACTCCAACAGGGAGCCGGCTCCGAGAGCTGTCTTTAGCGACCGACACATCACTACATCATTCCCTTTCCTAATGTCCTGAAGAACGGTCCGGAGCGCAGGCGGAGTGTTTAGCTAACCTGCAGGAAATGTCGACGACAGTTATCCAGAAAGTAGCTAAGGGTTACCAGAGATGTTTCTGAGGTGTTCGCTAGGTACTTTTAAGTTAAAAAGTCAATAAGGGGGTCTGAAAAGCTGCTAGAAATAGCGTCAAAGTCGCCAAGTTGGCAACACTGTGGAGGAGCGCTTCATTTGCAACTCAGGGCAGCGCAAGCGGGAGGAGCAAATAATCGGCTTGTTTTGTTTTTTATAATCGTTCAAAACTCAGATCGTAATCGTGATTAAAATTTGATTAATTGAGCAACCCTAGTTGTAGCAATAAAAATATCCATCCATCCATTGTCTGAACCCGCTTTGTCGACGTAGGGTCGTGGAGGGGCCGGTGCCGGTCAATGGGCAATCAGGCGGGGTACACCCTGGACAGAGAGCCAGTCCATCGCAGGGCTACACAGAGACACACAGGACAAACAATCATGCACACACACACACACACCTAAGGACAATTTAGACAGATCAATCAACCTAACAGTCATGTTTTTGGACTGTGGGAGGAAGCCGGAGAACCCGGAGAGAACCCACGCATGCACAGGGAGAACATGCTAACTTCATGCAGAAAGATCCCAGGCTGGGAATCGAACCCAGGACCTTCTTGCTGCAAGGCAACAGCTCTAACCACTGCGCAGCCCGCAATAAAAAAAAATACAATATATGTGTGTGTGTGTGAGAGAGAGAGAGAGAGAGAGAGAGAGAGAGAGAGAGCGAGAGAGCACCACCGCAAGGCTAATTTAATATTCCCAATAGTCCTGACCAGGTGGGCGGGGCTCAGTCTAAGAGAGTTCATATGCTAAATAGTGGTTCAGAGAACGGTTCACAGTCCTAAAAAAATCTTTCAATGGCACATTTAGTAATTAATTATACATGAATGTTTGTCTGTTGTGGGATTTTAGGAGAGGGTGCTCGCTGCAGAACTACAAAGGCGGAGCTGCACCAGAGTCAACCCCGCCCATTCACGCAAACTCAGCCTAGCCCACTGACTTCCGTTTTTGTTTTCAACTTTATCGCAAACTGACCTGACCCACATGAATTACGGCTGTTACTAGTTTACAGTCGTTAATGCTATGTTCTGTGCTCCAATTAAACAAGATAAATATAACTTGCTACATGACAAAGTCTGAATATATCCCGAAATAAAAAGGTTTCTCGTAGCGAATATCTGCCCATAGCCGCTCTAACAAAAGTCCTGTACAACAGCATGTACCCCTTCCCTGTGGGTTCTGGTAGTCCAGTGGCAAGATTGTCTGACTTACATTTTGCTTTCCCCTCAGCTGATGCTGGTTCGATTCTCGGTGGGGTCGGCAACAATCTATTCAGCCAGCTGAAACATTTAATTTGTTCATATTTTAGTTGTAATGTTTATTTTCACCAAAATATTTATGTCTCTACAAGTTCTTTGAATTTGGTCGTTCCTAAACAGCATTTTAGTTGAAACTCTGCTCACAGATGGACTCACACTGGCTAAATAAACGAATGAATAAATAAAAAAAACACATTAGTCATTATATGTTAAACGGCATACCAATAAATTGTTGTAAACATAGTACTGGCAAGTGTAGCTAGAAATGAGGAAAAGAGATTATAGAATATTTCCACTGCTGGGAGGCGAACCTGCGCAAAACTGCATGTCAACCTGACACCATCACCACTACACCACCACATATGATAAAAATTAGGTGGCGTTACATTTTATTATGTTATTTGGTGTGTCTTTGTAGATGGGATGTATGATTTTTCTGGCGGTGTCTCAGTAGAAGTCATTTCAGAAATAATTTGTCAGAAAATTCACAGAATATCCAGATTTGAGAACCAAGACCAGACCCGCTTTGGGGGAGGAGACCAAATTGAAGCTGAGATGGGAAGAAAATGCATGAATGAGGCCAAAAATGGCTTTGGCGTGTTTCTTATGAGGAAATGACAATATAACATGATTAAAAGTTCCAAAAGTTAGATTTTTAATTATATGGAACCTTTACAAAAACTGTTCAATTCACTTCTCAACTCCCTCCTCAATCTTGCATTTTTTAGCTATAACACCCTCTCTGGTTCCAGAATGCTATAAAGTCTGACAACTGGAAGGAATTGGACTGACTCCGATAGAATGGGCGGGGCTGATTCTGGAATGGGCGGGGCTGACTCTGGTGCAGCTCCACCTTCTGGTGCAGCTCCGCCTTTGTGGTTCTGCAGCGAGCACCACTTGGATTTTAGGGCAGTTATTTGGTGACTGGAAGTGTTTACAGTGTTACATGTGCCTAAGCCTCTAAGGTCGTGTTTGCTTTTGTCCATTGAAATAAAGAGGCAGCTTGACCCGAGTTATGGGTACTGTTTGATGGGGGGGGGGGGGGGGGGATGTGTGTGTGTGTGTGTGTGTGTGTGTGTGTGTGTGTGTGTGTGTGTGTGTGTGTGTGTGTCCCTGGATCTTGGTTGATGTGGCACTCGCTGCCTTCATCTCCACCTCTGCCTCCACTCGATTGGTCACGTCTTAGCTCCGCGGTGCTTATGGAGGCAAAATGGCTGCTTCCACCTCCCCGCAGACCCAAACAATAGCAGATAAGCTGTCTGGCTCGAGCCGCCGGGAGTCCGATGCACTGCGGTCCGGTGAGTACTGCGCACAGTCAATCCTGCGCACCCGCGCGTGCCCTCAGAGACGGGGGCGTCACGCTGCACGTCTCGCGCCGCATCTTGTGTCACAGCAGCCATTACCACGAACAGTTTGTCGCGTGAGACCATGGAGAAGAGACCCCACGTCGCGCTGAGCCACGCAGGTAGCCCACGACACGCATGTGTGAAAGCTCCTGAAGCGGGTCATTGTTACCGCTCCGCCGCATAAACGCTGCTAGTTATCACCGCGGGGTGTTTATAACACACGGCCAGCGTTGTAGCGCTGCGGGACGTGTGTAATTACCTGCGGGTGCCCAATCCTCGCCATTTTACTTAGCTTTGATGTTTGATGGAGGACACGCTGTGCTTTCAAGTGCAAGCTCGCATTTATCCTTTAAAACAACCAGCCGACAGATTCAGGGAGGCACCTCCGTGACTAGTGAAAGTGATGATGTTCCAGAACTTAAACGAATCGGAACCAGATTGGAGTGTCTGCGAGTATCGGGCTCGCCCCTGAACAAACGCAAACTGTGATTTTTGAATTGGTTTATTTATTCGACATGTTCCGGCCCTGATGCTGCTGGTGTAGGGGTGCAGCTGCGCTCCGAGGTGCCACCAGTCTGGGAATAAACTGACAGACGCAGAGCCGCCCACCAGACAAAAAGCGTTGTCTGTCTCCTTTGATTTACCGGTTTGTCGCAGAAAATGGCCCTTTTGTCCCGGGAGCTCCTGACTGCGGAGAACCAAGGCTGCCATGTTTGTGGTTGTGGAGCTTTTATGGCCCTGTGACAGGATGCCCATTTGATTCGGTTTGATTTTTGTCCTGTTTGAACACCTAATTATGGGCTTCTGCTGCAAAGACAGATATTACTCAGAGCTCATTTTCAGCTGCAAAGCCTTCATGTTTCAAATGCCCCTTTTTAAGGTTATCAGTAATTCTGATGAGTAATTAACTTGATATTCCAACATTTAAATGGATATCTGATATGTTTAGGTGATGACGAGGAAGCAGCTGAGGAAGAAGATGAGGAGGAGGTGCACCTGTCAGCTCAAGATGGTCTGAGCTCCAGCCTTGAAGAAACGGATGGCCTCCCTCCTCAAGAGGATGCCAACACTAAGGGTGAGGATGTTTTTGGGTCCCTAACGGTTAATTCTAGCATCAGAAGGTTTGGGGGTGCTGAGCACCCAGAGATCTGACCAGTCAGGCAAGAATCATTTCAACATTTTCTACATTTGAACAGAATTTCATTCCCACAATTATGAAAGAAAACAAAAACACTGTTTTCACTAATCAAATTACAGTTTTAAACATCATAATCTATGTTTACCAGGTTCTGCTAACACTGTAGCAGGACCTGGTCCGGGTTAGAGAGTCTGGGTCAGTGGTTCCCAATCTTCGGTCCTGGAGGATCTCTTGGCTGTGTGGTAACCTCACCATCTCAGCACAAACATGTTGTAGAAGAAGAAGAAACAGTCTTGTGTATAGCGCCTCAAGATAAAAACCTCAAGGTGCTTGTATGTGCTGAATCCCCACACATTTGTTGGGGACCTCCTTGGTGGTTCACAAACCCCAGGTTGGTCCAAGTTAGATTTAAGCTTAATGTTCTGACTTTTTTCCTCAGACGACTCAGAATAAATGATCAAGGCTTTAATTAAATAATTTCAACTGTTCAAAAGGGTTTGGCTATGAAACAACACAACCACCTTGTCTGGGTTAGAACCTTGTTACTGGGCTTCTGTAGCAGCAGCCGGTCTGATTACTGAGGAACCTGAGCAGCTTTAACCCTTCAGTCTTCATTGTAACAGCAACTCATCTCCTATTGGTCCAGGATCACTCTGTCATTTCCTTTTGGTTTGGAGGTTCGTGAGCGGCGTGTGCTCCGCACCTGTGTCAAAGTCCCGCCTCCTAGCTCGATTGACAGCAGCTTTTTTCGCCTCACAAGCAATTTTTACAAGACTCAAAGACGAAATGGGAGACTGTCCAAATGCCTGACGGTGTCTCGATTAGCAGGACCTGAGAAAAGTCATGTAGGCTCAGGACTGTCCCACAGAAAGCAGGAGCCTTGTTCACCCTAATGGCAGCATAGCAGCCAATCAGGAGGCTCCGAGCCGAGTCTGGGAAGTTGAGCAGGATCAAACCATTTTTGAGACGGCGGGGCTTGCTGCATTTTTGTTTTTAAAATTTCATATTTTGACCTATTGTATGGTTTTTAGATATTACTAATGTGTTAAAAATCCCCACAAACAGTCAAAATAAATGGATAACTAAACGAATGTCAAACTTTCAGGGTGCTAGGGATGAATGAAAAGCTTGTTCACTGAATTGTTTGAAATTTCTTACGTAAATGATGCGTGATTTGGATTTAGGCATTTTAGTGCTCATGCAAGTGGCAACAACACGATGGTCACTCAAGTCACTGCAGAAAACGCCTAAAGATGAGAATTCATGAGGGACATTTGTTAAAATTAAGTTTGGTTGGAGAAATTGTGAATATTTTGTACACTTTTAACCTTCAGCAGGTTGTTTCAGGCCCGACTCATGTAGGTGGACATATGCTTGATCTTGTTCTGACTCACCGTCTGTCTGTATCACACTTGGTGGTGTCTGATCCAGTGTTCTCCGACCACTGTCCCATTTTATTTGATGTATCAGTCCCCTGTACACCTGTTATGTAGGGTGCACAGGTACGAGACATAGGGTTTTAAACTCTTAGTGCTGAATTATCTTCCACTGAATTTTTAGGGTCCTCTCTGTGTTACAGTTGTGGCGTTGTTGAAAACAGGTGTCTCTCGGTGGCTGATATTGTGGCTCAGTTCAGTGAGTCATGTCGCAATAGGTGCTTTCTGACTGCATAGCTCTAGGAATTCAGTTCCTAGAACCATCCTAGATTTTAGTTCCTAGAACCATCCTAGATTTTAGTTCCTAGAACCAACCTAGATTTTAGTTCCTAGAACCATCCTAGATTTTAGTTCCTAGAACCATCCTAGATTTTAGTTCCTAGAACCAACCTAGATTTTAGTTCCTAGAACCATCCTAGATTTTAGTTCCTAGAACCATCCTAGATTTTAGTTCCTAGAACCAACCTAGATTTTAGTTCCTAGAACCAATCTAGATTTTAGTTCCTAGAACCATCCTAGATTTTAGTTCCTAGAACCATCCTAGATTTTAGTTCCTAGAACCAACCTAGATTTTAGTTCCTAGAACCATCCTAGATTTTAGTTCCTAGAACCATCCTAGATTTTAGTTCCTAGAACCATCCTAGATTTTAGTTCCTAGAACCAACCTAGATTTTAGTTCCTAGAACCATCCTAGATTTTAGTTCCTAGAACCATCCTAGATTTTAGTTCCTAGAACCGTCCTAGATTTTAGTTCCTAGAACCATCCTAGATTTTAGTTCCTAGAACCGTCCTAGATTTTAGTTCCTAGAACCATCCTAGATTTTAGTTCCTAGAACCATCCTAGATTTTAGTTCCTAGAACCATCCTAGATTTTAGTTCCTAGAACCATCCTAGATTTTAGTTCCTAGAACAGTCCTAGATTTTAGTTCCTAGAACCATCCTAGATTTTAGTTCCTAGAACCGTCCTAGATTTTAGTTCCTAGAACCATCCTAGATTTTAGTTCCTAGAACCATCCTAGATTTTAGTTCCTAGAACCATCCTAGATTTTAGTTCCTAGAACCATCCTAGATTTTAGTTCCTAGAACCATCCTAGATTTTAGTTCCTAGAACCAACCTAGATTTTAGTTCCTAGAACCATCCTAGATTTTAGTTCCTAGAACCATCCTAGATTTTAGTTCCTAGAACCATCCTAGATTTTAGTTCCTAGAACCAACCTAGATTTTAGTTCCTAGAACCATCCTAGATTTTAGTTCCTAGAACCATCCTAGATTTTAGTTCCTAGAACCGTCCTAGATTTTAGTTCCTAGAACCATCCTAGATTTTAGTTCCTAGAACCGTCCTAGATTTTAGTTCCTAGAACCATCCTAGATTTTAGTTCCTAGAACCAATCTAGATTTTAGTTCCTAGAACCATCCTAGATTTTAGTTCCTAGAACCATCCTAGATTTTAGTTCCTAGAACCAACCTAGATTTTAGTTCCTAGAACCATCCTAGATTTTAGTTCCTAGAACCGTCCTAGATTTTAGTTCCTAGAACCATCCTAGATTTTAGTTCCTAGAACCATCCTAGATTTTAGTTCCTAGAACCATCCTAGATTTTAGTTCCTAGAACCAACCTAGATTTTAGTTCCTAGAACCATCCTTCCCGTAGGAACCTTTTCAGATTGCGTTCGCACAGCGCTCAGGAACCTTTTGGAGGCAGGCATGACGAAGCCGCCTGCGACAGTGTGACGTGTTGAGAGCCGAAATAACAACACCAAAATGTAAGCAAACGGGGCTCAGGAGGCGACTGTGCTCATCACCTGCTTTACAAGAATACTTTTGATGAGCGATCAAATCCCGGGTATCACGTCGAGGCTGTTAGAGCATGCAGAGAGAGTCGGGAGGTGAAGATGTGTGTGTGTGTGTGTGTGTGTGTGTGTGTGTGTGTGTGTGTGTGTGTGTGTGTGTGTGTGTGTGCTCTGTCTTCTCCATCCCCAGTGAGTCGTGGAGGATGGCTGCTTATACTGAGCCAGGATACTCTGGAGGTTTCTTCCTGTTAAAAGGGAGTTTTCCTCTCCACTGTCGCTGCATGCTTGCTTAGTATGAGGATTGCTGTAAAGACTCTGACACTAGTCAGTGACTCGATGCGACCTGCTGGGTTCCTTATTAGGTCTGAACGATTTTAGGAAAAGATGGAATTACAATTTTTCTAGCCGAAATTAAGATTTTGGTTCAATTCACGATTTTCTGCAATCAAAGGCTGCATGGTGGCGCAGTGGTTAGCACTGTTGCCTCGCAGCACGAAGGTCGCAGGTTCAAAACTCGCCTTTCTGCGTGGAGTTGCGTGTTCTCCCCATGCATGCGTGGGTTTCCTCCGGGTACTCCGGTTTCCCCCACACATCACAACATGCCCTACAGGTTATAAAAAAAAAAAAAAAACTTGTACGTAGGGCTGAGCCATATCATACCTTTCACGGTAATACCGGTACAATGCTGGGCAATGATAAGAAAATGAAATATCGCGATAGGATAGAATGGGTAAAAGGCGCTTGCGCAGTGCCTTTGTTTTCATACGCTCATACGCACATGGCGGAAAAAGCATGGCGACGACGGAGGAGAAGGGCGACAGCGGCTCGTTGAATGAAACGGAATTTGTTTTTAAAAAAGGTGCTACTTCAGTGGTGTGGAACTGGTTCGGTTTCCGCCCGTCAGATACCCAACAAAGCACAATTTTTTGTAGAACATGCAAGCGGGCCGTTGTGGCAAAGGGAGGAAACACCACAAACTTATTTCATCATTTGAAGCAGAAGCACTTTTTGGAGTACAACAAAGCTGTTAAAGCACGCGAAGATGCGTCCCCTTCAACAAGTGTGGCGGTAAGACCAAAGAAGCTGGCCCAACAAACAATCGGCACAGCTATAAATAGCTGCACCCCGTATGACAAAAGTAGCAAACGCTGGGAAGAACTAACTAACGCAGTAACGCATGGTTTAGCCAGGGATATGATTCCCATTCAGAGAGTGGAAAAGGAAGGTTTCACAAAGATGCTTAAAACGTTTGATTCACGCTACAAGCTGCCCACCAAGAAATACTTCTCTAAAGTCGCTTTGCCTGCTTTATATGAAGAGGTTCGTACTGAGGTGGCAAACGCATTATCGTCTGTGGAGTTTTTGCGTCCACCACGGACCTGTGGTCAAGCCGAACATCAGACCCCTACATGAGCCTCACAATACACTACGTGGACAAAGACTGGAAGCTAAAAAACAAGTGCCTTGAAACAAGTTTTTTCCCCGAGGACCATACCGGGGAAAATATAGCCAAAGGCCTAAAAGAGTTCCTCAGCTCGTGGAATCTTCAGGAGGAAAAACAGGTGTGTGTGGCGACAGACAGCGGGGCCAACGTTGTGAAGGCTGTCGCACTCAACAACCGGACCAGACTTTCATGCTTCGGACATCGCCTGCGCACTGCCATAGGTAACTTGCTTAGAATGTCAGATTAAGCATTTCTTGCATTAGTTTAAATGATAGTAATGTTTATATTATTAATCTTTAGATGTCTTTAAACATGAACAGGAAGGCTGGATGTGTGCATTTATGCTGTAAGACCTTTTAAGGTGTGTGTGTGTGTGTGTGTGTGTGTGTGTGTATGTTATACATAAAACTTAAATGTCACACATTCCACACTGCATTAATATTGGTGTTGAGCAATTAACCGTTTTCCTACAAATTTGTCTTTTTTAGAAAGAAGTGTGAAGGACCAAAGGATTGATCGAGCAGTTGGAGTGGGAAAGAAGATTGTTGGTGCCTTTGGTCACAGCTGGAAGCGCCAGCGTGCTCTGCAGGCTGCCAAAAAGAACTGGGCCTACCAGAACACAAACAACTGAATGTTGCACTCGTTGGGGCTCAAAGCAGAGAATGATCCAGCGACTGCTGGAACAAGAAAAGGCTATAACACAGGTTTAAGCTGCTGATAAAACCACAAGGCACCTCATGTTGACATGGCAAGACATTCAGGTGCTTGACTCCATCAGCGCTGCATTGAGTCCACTTCTAGAGTTTACAGATGCTTTTTCTGCTGAAGAGTATGTGACCATTTCATGTGTTAAGCCTGTTCTTCAGATGTTTAACAACGACCTGTTAAAAGTAAAAGAGAGTGACACACCGCTGACCAAAGACATCAAAACAGCAATACTCGACTACATGAACAGAAGCTACAAAGACAGCGTCACAGAGAGGCTTATTAACATGGCTTCTCTACTTGATCCACGTTTTCGCACAGAATATTTCAGTGAGAGTGAGAGCGAAGCCATCAAAGTTCAGGTCATGAGTGAACTAGAGCATCTTGTGTCACACCAGGGTAGCACAGCCACAGGTGTTTCAGAAACACTTCCCACATCTGCTGGAGACCAAACAAGTCAGGGAGCCGCTAAAAAGCCTAAAAAAAGTCTCGGGAGCTTTTTGAAGGGACCTGTTGGTGGCAAGACAGATGTAACTGCAGAAAGGTTGCTATCTGAACTGAGCAGTTATGTGAACAGTCCACCAGCAGACGGTGAGTGTGATCCGCTTTTGTGGTGGAAGGTTCACACGGTAAACTTTCCCAACATCAGCAGATTAGCTAGGAAGAACCTCTGCATTCCAGCAACTAGCTCTGCATCTGAAAGGTTGTTCAGTACAGGTGGAAAGGTTGTAACTTGTCTACGATCCTCCCTTAAGCCCACATCTGTGAACATGTTGGTGTTTCTGACAAAAAATCTTAAAACTTGAAAAGGGCACTTTATCCATGTTGTTTTTTTTATGTATTTTTTTTTTACTCAAGAGTTTGAGTTTTATGTTGCAAAGCAACACTTTAAGTTATGAGATATTACCAATGGTTATGCTCTGGAGGATATTCAGCCCATTTGCACAAACATTTTAATATAGTTTTGATGCACATAAAAATTGCTGCTTAAATGAAAATATATTGGTGGGTTCTTTGCACTAATAAAGTTGTTAATTTGTAAAGTACTTTGTCTCGCATCAGTCATATCGTCAGTTATATCGTTATCGCAAATTTTCATATATATATCGTGATAAATATTTTTGGCCATATTGCCCTGCCCTACTTGTACGTCGCTTTGGATAAAAGCGTCTGCAAAATGAATAAACATAAAGATAAAGGTCCAACACTAGCCTGCCAAGCCATCCTGTAGATGAAGTGAAAAGATGGTCTTGATTCTAATCTAGTACAACTAATCATTCACATTAATATTTACTATTTAATCAAATGATAAACACAGTTAAAGCTATTAATATATTCTCCCATTATTATCTTTTTTTATGTGTTTGTGAAGCAACTTGTGCTTGTGATTTTTATCTAGAGAGGAGCTTTACAAAAACATGTTCTACTCCAAAATCTGTAGGCAGAAATAGCTTTTAAATGTATTAAATAACAAAAACACAGTCTTCCTGCATTACCAAGGCAGGCTGGCTGCACGTTTTTCGAAGCCGTCTGATAGTTTTCCCTCACTAACGTCAGCTCCGTGAGAGAGACGCATACATTCTGACACCTTAGCTTGTTTGAGCTAACGTGTGCCGTCAGAAACACTCGAACCATTTTTAAAAGAGAAGTCGAGCTTTCAAGTCAACTAAAGCGTGCGACTCCGCACTGGCGCTCAGGGCCACATTAACACTTTGTTGTACCCTGGGCAACCATATTCAAGGGCCCCATCATCACCATAATATGGTCACATACAGAATATTTTACTGTAATACGCAGTAAATATACTCAATACTTGAATGCCTGACTTAACCTGCTCAGGGTAACCTTTGACCCACCTCGTGTGGACTGACCAATGAGGAGAGAGTCTTAACTTGAGGCCCTCTCTTCATTGGTCAGTCTGCATGAGACTGACTCTCAACTGACGTTCAGTCGTAGGCAGCGAAGCGTCTCTGTGCAGCGCAAAAGCCCGGGTGGACAGTTTGTTTAATGTAGGGTGATCATATTTCCATTTCCAAACAAGAGGACAGGGGATCTGTGCCTATGACATCACACTATGGCAACGCCACACAAACCATGTTGGGACCCATTTTTTGTAAGAACTAAATTAATATCAGATTCTGCCAATAAAAGGGCTCTAAAACTATTCATATGTAAATATTTTGCATATTTAATGCAAAATCTAATTTTTCTGCTTTAGTGCTGCAACAAGGTTTTATTAATAATAAATTATTATACCTTTTGTTTTACTACAGCATCGGTAAGCTTCCTGTGCACAGATTATTAAGGATGCTTGTTTCAGCTGTGAGATTAGACGATAGGATCAATGAAAAAATAAGTTGTCACACACTCCATGGAAACTTTCAGAGAATCCACAAATAGTGGCTTTCAGATGGTTTTGTTACTTTTAGCAAGTTTAGAAAAGCAGCAGATGAGACAGCATGCCTGATAATTTAGTTTTTCATCTGATAATATTAGAACATGTCAGTAATGTCTGAGGGGCTTTTATAAACACTGTATATCTAACACTACTGGAGAAGGTATGGATTACACAGAGGCTTCTGGGGAGCGCAGTTAAGGGGGCTAAGTTCTGAGTCGTGGAGGATGGCTGCTTATACTGAGCCAGGATCCTCTGGAGGTTTCTTCCTGTTAAAAGGGAGGTTTCCTCTCCACTGTCGCTAAATGCTTGCTTAGTGTGTGTGTGTGTGTGTGTGGGGGGGGGGGGGGGGGGGGGGGGGGGGGGGGGGGGGCTCATTTTGCCTTGGCCCCCAAAATGTCTTGAAACGGCCCTGGGTGTGTGACTGAGTGTTGAAGGTGATCTGAACTGTATCAGATGTATAAATATAACGTGTATAACTTAGTGTTTTATAGGTAAAAACGTGTAGTGGAGATAAATCTACGTACTTTTTACTTTGTTTTCTTGTTTTTATTGAACTATTTCCTGTCCTGTCTGTCTCTCATCTTCCTGCATCTCCTCTAAACTCTCCAGAAAATCTGCTGCCTGGATTCTTACTTTTTCACCTCATCAGTTCCTTCTGAGCAGATCAAAGGGATCTCCTGACCGCAAAGCGGAGAGCGCGTTTCGATGCTGCGTCAGTGAGGTGACATCACCGCAGCACAGGTGGTGAGCTCCTCAGTAGCAGAGCGCTTCAGGCACATATAAGACAGAAAGTAGAGAACATGTGCGGACATGAACCATCGTGTGTTAATTATAGTTTTGAGAATGGACCGTGCGCTGGAAGCAGCTGCCTGGAGCGCTGCGCCACAACGCAGCGCTGTGCCGCTCTCTGTGTTCTCTGCTCAGAAGAGTCCATAAATGATGTCATACAGGTAGAAAACGTTTTTCCGGCTCCCCTACTGGATGTGTAGGATGTTCAGCTCCCCCATAATTCTATCCCTGCTCCTGGATGAAAAGCCGGACATTTTCATCAATACAAGAACCCCCAGTCCGGACAGAGAGTGAAAAGTGGACATGTCCGGGGAAAACAGGACGTACGGTCACCCTACATGAAGCGAGAGATTACAGATACAGTATTTTGCTCGTGCCCTTGCTGCCGTGGGCCCTGGGCAATTGCCCAGTTGCCTGTATGGTTAATCCGGCCTTGCTGGCGCTGACGAAACATAAACCAAGCTTTAGAAATCAGCCTGAACCTGCAGATGTGGGAGGAGTCTCTCTCTCTCCCTTACTCAACTACGCTCTCTCTCTCTGTCCCGGGCTCACCTACGGTGCTATTATCGGCTCTAGCAGCGGTGTGTGTGGGAACAAAACAGGGAAAATAACCTGAATATGCAGCTCTGGCAACTGTGGAGATAGGCTCGGCTCTGGACGGTACACCCCACCCCCCAGTTACACAACTGATCCTGGATCAGTCAGAACTGCTAAAACCGCAGCTTTCACGGTCACGTGATCGTGCTGTTTGAAATTGCAATTTCGGTCCAAAAACGATAGATCGTTCAGCCCTATTCCTTATAAAGGAAGCTTTTTACTGATTGGCTTAATGAACTGGCCTGTAGTGGAATGTTGACTGTGTGAAGGTCCTTGAGACGACTCTTGTCATGATTTGGCGCTTTATAAAAAAAACAAATTGAATTGCAGTACAGGGGCTGCGCAGTGGTTAGAGCTGTTGCCTTGCAGCAAGAAGGTCCTGGGTTCGATTCCCAGCCTGGGATCTTTCTGCATGAAGTTAGCATGTTCTCCCTGTGCATGCGTGGGTTCTCTCCGGGTTCTCCGGCTTCCTCCCACAGTCCAAAAACTTGACTGTTAGGTTAATTGGTCTGTCTAAATTGTCCTTAGGTGTGTGTGTGTGTGTGTGTGTGTGTGTGTGTGTGTGTGTGTGTGTGTGTGTGTGTGTGTGTGTGTGTGTGTGTGTGTGTGTGTGTGTGTGTGTGTGTGTGTGCATGATTGTTTGTCCTGTGTGTCTCTGTGTTGCCCTGCGAGGGACTGGCTCTCTGTCCAGGGTGTACCCCGCCTGATTGCTTGTTAACCCTAACCCTCCCTCCCCCCCATCCCACATGGACAAGCGGGTTCAGAGGATGGATGGATGGATGGATGGATGGATTGATTTCAGTACAGATCAGCAAGGCATGAGCAACTTTGTTGTCAATCTCAGCCAGAAATGACTAAGTCATTCTTCTTGTCGCCACAAGGACTTGCACCTTGGAGGGAAAGAGTGCTAAGGAGAGGTACATTGAATTCAGGCAACAAGGAATAGAGCTCAACTCAATGCATTCAAATGCCACCATAATAAACCATGGAAAACGCCTTCTTAAAAAAACCAGGCTGGCATAACATCACGTGGACAGCCAGCAGGTTTAGCTGGTACCTGAAACAATTCTCTCCAGCTCAGGTGGTGTTACCTTTGTAAAAGAGCTTAAACATGCATAGTGGCAAAAAGGAGCATCAGGTGAGTTCTGAGAGGAGGCCGACCTCACAGCTTCAGCTTTTTCCAGAAAATAGGATAGGAACTTCTCACAGTTTCCCACTGATGGCTCCATGCTGTTTGTTCTACAGACAGGATCAAGGACAGGGCTCAAAGACCTAAAGAGAGCACGCTGATCACTTGCTGCTGAAGAGATAATATTTGAGAATTTGTTTTTCTTTTTTAACACCCTCATTATAGCATCTCAGCTTCTCTCTGAACCAGTCCAGTGAAACTTGGAGTCTTTCTTCCATTTCCTTTCTGCTGTTCTACATTCACGCCTAGCTGACGTAACAGCATCAGTGTTTCATTGTTCTAACTTGGACCTAGAGCCTCTGGTGGAAAACTGAGCCGAGTCTTACAAATTCAATGGACATAAAATCATTCAACTGGACAATAAAGGACTCTTGATAGGCATAGAGTATAACATTAGCCAATTGTATGACATGGCAAATGCAAATCAAATTATTTCTGTTTGTTTAAAATTGCTGCAATAGAGGATCATTGAACCGGAAGGTCACATTTAAATAGAAGTGCACAATGATCAGAAAGAAATAGTTTCAATAACATCCAATTTTGAAAATGGGAACCCAAAAGAAAGGACTAAGTTCAAGGTACGACCCTGTGTATGGGTTGGACTAGTGCTCCGTACCATAAAGCTTTGATTGATTGATTGATTGATTGATTGATAATGTTAAAAACCTCAAATACATTAAGAAACTCCTCAACAGGGGAGCCTGCTCATCAGCACCCCAGCAGAAAGGGTCGAACTCTGGGAACCGGTAATGGTTGTACCCCATGTGCAGCAGTACCGGGACCAGAGTGAATAGGGTGTGCATGGGGAGCATGAGTAGGTGTCTAGCATTCATTTTTGTAAGTCTTAGGTTGTATGTGTATGTGTGAGCATGAGGGAGGAAGTGTGTGACTGTGTCCGTGTATGACTGTACATGTCAGGTGGGGCCTTTGACTCCTCCCTTCTCCTGGACTTGTTTTGATGCTATTCATCTTCATCTCCCCTCCCCCTGCCACACCTGGTGTGGAGTGTGGTGCCTTGGTCTGCCTGAGTGTTCGTGGCTCCCGGGTCAGGGGGTTTAGGATTTTTGGCGTCTGCCTGATCAATCCGGGTGGTTGCCTGGTGGAATCTGGGTCCCTGGGCTCTGCTGGGTCCCCGCTAGGGGTGGTCGCCCCTAGGTCTCAAGTTGCTAGGTCCTGGGCTCGAACGGCTGGGGGGTGGGAGGCTGCAGGCGGGCTTGTGGGCTTGCCTCTGATATCTCCCGGGACTCTGCCGGCTGCTGGTTGTGGCCCCCCGAGGCGATCCTTTGTGCCTCTCAAGGGGGGCGGGGGCTTTTCTGGTCGCGGTCTCCTTGGGGTCCCTGTGCTCTGGGGCAGCTCCTGGATCTCTGGGACTTGGAGCTCCCTCCATCTCCTATGCATCTTTGGGGGGCAGATCTGTGGCCCCTCACACTCTCTATTGGATGCTCCTATAGAGAAACCTTACATAGACTAGCGCGTGTACACACACAGGTGCTCACATGGTGCTCTCATAAGTATGGACTTGGGCACGTTCAACACTTGTGTTAAGGCTGTGGTGGGCACTTAATGCACTGCGATTTATTATCGTGTGATTATTCAGTTAAACAACGTTGATTTTACATTTCTTCAAGTTGATGCAGTGATAGCTTGCTCCCTTTGTATTGTGTGTCCCTTTTCTGCAGGCCTAGAAGCAGACTCTTGTTCATCATTGATAGTTTAACACCCCCCCCCCCCCCCCCCCCCCCCCCCACACACACACACACACACCTTTTTTCTCTTCCTTTCTCTTTCATTTCTGTGTCCATGTCCGGTCGAAATTACAAAGCATTCAAAAAACAATAATAAAGTTGTAAGTATCAGGTGTGACATTAAAAGCAGATGCCTTGATGCTCCACCTGAGAGTAAATCTGTAAGGCTTGTCACCAGCATTCAGACATCAACTCTGTTTGCTTCACAGCCAGACAGGACATGGGAAAATAAAAAATAAAAAAACTCCTCAACCATTGGTTTATCTGGGCAAAACGTGTATCACCCAACATGACAACATGACCAAACCTTGGGATAAAAACTGACAGTAAATCAGCAGTCATTAAAAAAAATCCAGATTAAATTTTAGTGGATGATAAATAAGTATCCTCAGAAATTCAGAAATTGACACAAAATCAAACAATGAGTACTCTAAACTGTGGAAGGACATTTTTGAGCTAATTTGGTGACAGCCAAAACAGTCCTTGATGACCCAGGCCAGGCCACCTCCCCATCCAACAGCCCCTGGGAGAATTAAAACAAATATATCAATCTGTTAACAATTCAGCTAGGACACTAATGTGACCCTGGGGGATCCATGTTTCCATTGTGCCGAGGATGTCAAAGATCTGAGTTTTAATGAAGTAATTCAGAATGTGGGACTCGTTCATGATCGACCTAGCGTTGATGAGCCCAAAGCGGTGACCAGATGAAGCAGCAGTTATAGCCCTGTAGTCCAGGGAGGTGTCCAAGACTTACACTCCTAACACATGTAAATTCAGCAAGTCAGTTCCCCTTCAGAAACTGCGCTTCTGCACCAGCGAACGCTGTGAGCCAACGGTCCAACCCTTTCCCACAGAATTGGCTTCCAGTGCAGTCGAGCCAGATCAAGCCGATGATTGCTAGGGATGTTTGCCCAAAATTTATCCTTCCGTGGAGTGCATGCTAGCTTGTATGCTAGCTTGCATGCTAGCTCGCAGCCTGACAAGGCGTCCGTCTCACTTTTCCAGATGCTACCGGTTCCTCCTTCTGCAGTGTGGAACAAATGGACACCTAAGGAATGATGGTATTCCAGCCAGCAAAGGATCCAATGGTCCGTGGCCAGCCTGGTTGAGTGACGGCGTCGGAGCGAACATTTAACTCCGATAAGGTCCCCCATTCATATGTGAGTAGCAAACAGACAGATTGAAGAGAACACAACAAAACAAAAAACCGGACAAATCAAATGCTCAAGTGAGAGATGGCACGCCATGATCAATGAGGCTGGTGCCATCTTGCTCTCTGGCAGACTGGGGTGGTACTTCCCCTATTGATGATTGAAATTGTAGTTGTTTCATCTGATCTGTGACTGCATGTCTTGGACTCTTGGGTGAAGAGAGAGGTGGAGCTGTCAACTGACAAATAACTGATGGTGAGTTGGCTTTGCTGGTAGGGGAGAATGCTAGTCAGACCTGGCATGCCTAAACATATTGCGACCTTCTGATGTAAATGTTTGGAGGAGCCTGTCAGAAGAAGCATCAAATCTCACCTCTGACAGAATTTCAAAGATGTCCTGAAGGAGGCAGTGGGACATTGAGTCAGAGTGGGCCATGTTCCATGCTTTCATTCTCGAGGCGGCTGTCCAGAGTTGTGGTCACAGTGTTATCTGTGCCTGTTGTGGCAACCCCCGAACCCACTGGTGAACACTGGCAATTAGGGATGCTGTCAAGCTGAAAATGAGTGCTATTGGGTCTTTTTGGCCTGTAGGATCCAGAGGCAGCCAATAGGTACCGACAGTCTAAGCGGAACGCGACTCATGTGGTTGTTGAGGCAAAAACCCGGTCGTGGGAGGAATTTGATGACACTGTGGATCAAGTCTTCTGTACGGCTTTGAGGAGATTCTGGTTCACCGTCCAGCATCTCTGGAGGGAAAAGCAGTGCTCTACCAACACTGTTTACAGTGGTGATGGTGTGCTGCTGACCACTACTCGGGATGTTGTGTATCAGTGGGAGGAATACTTCAAAGACCTCCTCGGTCCCTCCAGCTTGTCTTCCAGTGAGCAAGCAAAGTCAGGTGACTTTGGGTTGGATTTGTCAATCTTTAGGGACTAGGTCACTGAGGTGGTCTAAAAACTCCTTGGTGGCAAGGCACTGGGGGTGGATGAGATCAGCCCGGGGTTCCTTAAGACTCTGGATGTTCTGGGGCTGTGTTGATTGACACGGCTCTGCAGTATCACGTGGACATTTGAGGCAGTTCCACTAGGCTGGCAGACTGGGGTGGTGGTCTCCCTAAAGGAAGATGCGTCAGATTGTCAAACATCTTATTCAGGAGGAAGACTGTTTTCGTCCTGGCCATGGAACACTGGACCAGCTCTATATCCGTAAGGGGTTCCTGCGTGGTGTGTTGGAGTTCATCTAACCAATCTACATGTGTTTTGTGGATTTGGAGAATGAGTTTGACCCCATCCCTCGGGGGGCCCTATGGGGCCCTTTGGGTAGTATTCCCGGAGGATTGGATACCAGGCCCTTTAAAACGGGCTGTTAGGTCTATATTTTGTTAGTAAGTCGGACTCCTTTCCAGTTAGAGTTGTACTCTGCCAAGGCTGGTCTTTGTCACCAATTTTTTTCATAACTTTTATGGACAGGATTTCTAAACGCAGCCAAGGTATTCAGGGGGTCTGTTTTAGTGGCCTACGGATCAAATCTCTTCTTTTTGCAGATGATGTGGTCCTATTTGCTTCATAAGACCATGATCTCCAGCTTTTACTGGAGCGGTTCGCAGCCGAGTGTGAAGCGGCTGGGATGAGAATCAGCTCCTCTAAATCCGAGACCATGGTCTTGAATCTGAAAAGGGTAGAAATCTTCTCCAGGCCAGGGACGAGGTCCTGCCTCAAGTGGAGGAGTTTGTGTCTCAGGGTTGTTCACAAGTGAGGAAAAGTTTGAGCTGGCCCAAGTGGCTGGGGAGAAGGAAGTCTGGACCACTCTGGTTAGGCTGCTGCCCCTGCGACCCGACTGGGGAAGCAGCTGAAAATGGGTGAATGTTTAATTTTTATCTGCATCAATATACTGTATCCGTCACAAAAACACGCTGAAAATATTTTAACGAAATAAACATGGGAACCAAAACTGCCAATTTAAGGATGAGGAAACTGACATGAATAGATACTTTAAAATATATTAAGCTGACAAGATGGGAAACAAAGGCCTATGCACAAAAATATCAGATAGGAAGAGGGACACGCTTGTAAGAGGAGGATCTGACAATGGGTGCAAAAAACAAAGGATTGCATGCTGGGAGAGGTGATTTCAGAGGGTGGACAGCTGAGTTGGTGTAGAGAGGAACAGTTGTGAGAAGTTAGTGATTGAAGCAACATGTATAAGGATGTGACAAGGTCAGAAACAAACATATTTAAACATATGAAACTTAAATAACAGAACCATCAGTTTAAGAAACCCAAAAACCTTATACTGTTACAAGATCGACATCTTTGACTCACATCACCTGGCATTGCTGGTTAGGTCTGCCACAAGAATGATTCCTGACATTTAAGTGTGATGCCTTTTGTTCAGTTTTGTGATGTTTTTTGTTTCTTTCACATTTGCAGTGCAGAGTTTGAAGTGTGAAGTATGTAACTCCCAATTTGGAAGTAAGCGTGGTCTGTCCATCCATGCTCGAGCTCACCTGCGCCAGTTGGGTATCACCGTCTCGGAGAACAGTGGGCCGTCTGTGGAAATACTCTACAAAATCGCCAAGGAACGTAGCATAGATGGGAAAATCAGCCCCTCCTTTTTGAAGCAAGTCAAAAAGAAGAACCCCTCCCAATCTGTCCCCGTGAAAAATGAGGGGCTAGAAGAAATGGACTTGAATGAGGAACCCATTCATCACCCCAGCCTGGCCAAACCAGCAACAGCAGCGTTGCCACCCTCTTCTTCCTCCACACCTACACCTTCCCCTGGTGCCTCTCCAGCTCCATCTCATTCTGGCTCACCTTCCTCAGTAGTGAAGAAAGTCCCTATTTCTTCTCTACTTCCTGTGTCTTCCCCCTTGCGCTCCCCTGAGCACAAGGTTGGGGGAATAAAAAGCATGGCTTCTAACCTTTCTGCTGTATCAACAATCTCAACAGCCAAACCACTCTGGGCACCACAGGAGAACGATGCCCCTCTAAACCTCAGTAAGTGTTAGAGATTTGATCCTTGTATCATTTCCGCTATCTAATTATTCTACTTGTTGAAATTGTAGTTTTCTCTGTTTTCAGCACTGGAGGCAGACGCTGATAAGGACAATGTTTGCCAGCTGTGTGGTGCCTGGTTTGAGACACGCAAAGGCCTTTCCAGCCATGCTCGAGCCCACCTGCGACACTTTGGTGTAGAATACTCTGAGTCCAAAGGATCCCCCATCAACCTCCTCAATCAGTTTATGGGTACTGATGACTTCAAGCACAAAGCTAGCTCTCTGGAGCTGGACAGTCCCACAGAACCACAGGATGTAACTGCAACTCTCCCCTCATCAAAGCAGTCCCTGCTCACAATATCGTCCTCTTCATCTTCATCCCATCCGTACAAGGTGACTACAGCTGGGAGTGGGTCAATACTCAAAGCTACCTCTTCCTCTGCCTCGTCTTTACCAGGCCAACCTGTCAAGCGTCTTAAGGCCTCTTCCATGAAGGTCTTCCGCCTCAGTAGTGGCGAGCTTATGGCCCTTCCGAACAGTAAGTGATACGTCATTAATCCTGATTATAAACAAGGGTGAATATTTAGATGTGGTAGAAGATAGAATCTTATTTTCTCACAAATTAAAAATTAATAATCACTCTGGTCTTTTAGATGAACCTCCAAAGGAAATAGGCTGTGAGTACTGTGGGGAGTATTTTGAGAACCGCAAGGGACTCTCCAGCCATGCACGTTCCCACCTTCGCCAAATGGGTATTACTGAGTGGTCTGTAAATGGTTCACCAATTGACACCCTGCGAGAGGTCATCACAAGGCGAGGCCTGCCTTGTGCACTTCCTCTAAAACCTCACAAAACACCACCATCTTCTCCAGGACCCCCTCGTTCTCCTCTTTCAGCCTCCTCATCGCCCTCAGGTACCCTCCTTGGCCGCCTGCCATTCGCCTTTACACGACCCTCCAGTCCTCCTCAGTTGGCATCATCCAAGTCCAGCTCAGCTTCTTTGACATCTTTCAGTAGCCTGACACTGAAGCCGAAGCCTGAGCCGGTGCAGCTGGAGGTCACCATACCAGGAGTTGTTGGGAGATCTGGAGGTTTTCCTGCTGAGCCTCTAAGCTCAAGCTGGAGCAGTTCTGACAATGTTTTCCCTCTCAACTTGGGTAAATGTGTTAATGAGTACTTCAATACAGCAATTGGCTGTGAAAACTTCAAAATATAGTCATAAATTCATTAGCAGAGATGATGTATAAAAACTGCATGTAATTAAGGCCATTTCAAGGGCTTGATTTTAGTGAAATTTTTAGATTCAACTGATAAAATCTAATTTAATAAGCGTTCAGACAAAATGGTTATAATATAACATCAACAGTAGTAAATGTCTTTTTGTAACTGTACAATTGGCTTTTTGGGCCTTCAGAGCACCAAGTTTAAACTGCTGAACTGATTTAAAGAGGTGTTTGCAGCGCACAATTAAAAGCAAGTGTTGTTAAAATTTTTTGTCAACTTTGAAACTAGGACAAGCTTTGTACAATGTTCTGTGAGCTGGGGTTCTGTTCTCATGTCCTGCTGTCCCCTCGATTAGAATAACATCTTACCCAGGTAACCTTTTCAGGTTTGCTCTTGACATTTTTCAGTCATCCAGGTCATGGTAATCCAAAAAGTTCTAACAAAGGCTACTGGACTACTTTGGATTTTTGAAGATGCTTTGCTTCTCATCTGAGGAGCTTTATCAATTCTGACTGGAGTATGGGAGAGTCAAGCTTATAAACTGTAGCCGTCTATTGTTGCGGAAACTACCTATGAAAACCACACCTCCCTACCCCCCGAGGAGTTGTGGAAATCGTAAGCCCTGATTGTGTAGGAATGGTTGATTTCATTAGATGCAGGAGGATGGGACCTAGAATGAAACTGTTTTAGAATAAAGCTGCATTTATCTGTGCTGGAAAGATGGAACATGAAGCCCCCGCCTGTTTAGTGTAGGGTTTTCTCTTTTGAGGGATGGCTTCCTTTACTTATCTCTCGAACCATCCATCTTCTCTGTCCAGATTGTGTACTTTCCATCCATCCATCTAGCCTGGCCTGCCAGACCCCTCCTCTGGTTAATTCTGCACAAAGGGTCTGGGAACTCTCCTATTCAAATGACCCCACCCCCTGAGAATTCTAACTGAGCCAATCAGCGCTGAGCAGCGTACATCACACACCATAACAGAGTTTGTCATAAACATGGTGCTGCGGCTCTTTCCTCTGGTCTAAATGACTTGAATGTCTTTAAAACAAGTAGAAGTGCTAAAAGCCTTTCTTCTAAAGAAAGATGTTTGCGCCGTCGCCAGACGCCATTTTTGACTACAGCTAACAAACTACAGCTTCGCGGACGTCACACAGTGACGCTAAATTTTTCATAATTAAAGACAGCAGCGGAGTTCGCTGTGGCTCTTTCCTCTGGTCTAAATGACTTGAATGTCTTTAAAACCACAACAAGTAGAAGTGCTAAAAGCCTTTCTTTTAAAACAAAAGAAAGATGTTTGCGCCGTTGCCAGACGCCTTTTTTGACTACAGCTAAAAAACTACAGCGTCGCGCAGTAAAGTCAGCATTTCTGTCTTTTTTCTGATTGGTTATTTTTGAGCTGGCTAGTCCCGCCCCTCATGCGCCTCTCTGCCTGTGAGTTACCAGACTCTTTCTCTGTGCAGAATTAACCAGAGCACGAGTCTGGCAGGCCAGGTTACCATCCATCCGTTCTTTTCCACTTCTCCAGAGTCCGGTCGCGGGGGCAACAGCCTAAGTCAAGAGACCCAGACTTCCCTCTCCCAGCTGCATGGACTGTGTATTTTGTCATGTTCAAAAGTGTGTCCCTTATCATTCAGGTGTAAGTGGACTGTTTGATTTCACAGAGGCCTTTGTAAAACAAAGAGTTCTGGTAAAGAATCCATAACAGCAAACAAAACAAAAGAACACCACGTGCAAAAGCACCATCATCCCATGTGAGGCAGGAGTCTCACATTTCTCCAAACACAACATCCTAGTTAACTTTAAACCGGGTAAGACCCCAGTCGAAAAGACGATACCTAAACGGGGTAGCATTGTTTCTGCTGTCCAATGCAGTGAGGGCTGACTATATCATTACATAGAGGAAACAAAACAACAACACAAGCACATGGCACAACACAGGACAGACACTTCTAGAGATCAATACTCTGCAGTCCACTTGCACCTGAAGGACAAGGGACACACATCTGAAAAACACAAACTACACATTCTGGATGGAGAAGATGTATGGTTTGAGAGAGGGATAAAGGAAGATATGTCAAACATGTAGAGAAACAAGTACAACATTCTGGAATGGCCATCTCAGTCCCCAGACTTGATTATTATTGAAAATATGTGGGTGAGTTAAAGAGAGCTGTTCATGCTCAGAGGACACCAATGCTGAATGAACTAAAGATGTTTTGTGAAGAAAAATGGTCCAAAACACCTTCAACCAGAATCCAGACTCTAGTTAGAAGCTATAGGAAGTGTTTAGAGGCTGTTCCTTCTGAAAAAAGAAGGATCTACCAAATATTGAGTTTAATTATTTTTTGTAGTGCCCAAATGTATACACCTGCAGTTGTTTGTTTAAACAGTTATTGCACACTTTCTGTAAATCCTATTAACTTTGTTTCACTTCTTAAACATCACTGTGTGTCTCCTAAATGAGATATTTAACAGAAATTTTTTATCATAACCAATGATTTATGCAGGAACATCATAGTGATTTAAAGGGCTGCCCAAACTGCATCTCACTGTAAAAAATTCCTATCTCACCCTCTGCGGGTGGTCTAATCCTTCCAAGCTTGGGTCCTCTACCAGAGGCCTGGGAGCTTGAGGGTAATGCTCAGTATCTTAGCTGTTCTTGAACTGCACTTTTCTGGACTGAGATGTCTGTTGATTTCCTGGGATCTGCTTTGGCCACTTCTCCAGTTTGGGGATTACTGCCCCAATGACCGCGGGTGTCGCTGATGTCTTCACCCTCCAGGCATTCTCAAGTTCTTGTCTGAGGCCCTGGTACTTCTCTGGTTTCTTGTGTTCCTTTTTTCTTAAGTTACCATCATTTGGTATCGCGTCATCAACCACAACGGCTGTCCTCTGTTGTTTGTCCACCACCACAATGTCCAATTGGGTTGCCATCACCATTTTTTCAGGCCGGATCTGAATGTCCTACAGGAGCTTGGCTCTCGTTCAACCACCTTAGGGGGTGTTACCCACTTTGACCTTCGGGCTTCCAGTCCATACTCTGCACAGATGTTTCTGTCCATTACCAGCCACTTGGTTGTGGTGTTCCATGGATGCTTTCCCTGCCAGCATCTTACACCCTGCAGTTATGTGGTGGATTGTCTCGGGGGCCTCTTTGCATAGCCTACACCTTGGGTTTTGTCTGGTGTGGTAGATCTTGGCCTCTGGTGTTCAGGGCCTGTTCCTGTGCAGCCATTTTTATTTGTGTGATTTAAGTGCAGCGGATAAAAGTTTCTGGGCGAGTTTCCACATGGACGCTGTGTTGAGTGACCTATGATGGCTGCATGCGCTAATCTCCATTTAAAAAATGTGATTGGCAAATTCTGATCAATGCCTGTCACAGCAGATCCAACCAGCTGGCTATCGCTGCTACTGTGGAGCCCATAGAGACGCTGATCAGAATGTCGCGTCGCCTCTCCCTCCCTTCTCTCACACTGTGCAGGCACGCAGTGGCTAAAATGTGAAGAAGCATGTCTGCTGAACATTTCCCCTGGGACAACTGATGTAAAATTTTCATCCTGCAACGTAATTTGCAGCACGGAGGAAGCTTGTTATTTGATATGAATTTTAAGGAAGAAACTGGGCGGTGTGAGGTAAGTTTTTAAGGCTCGCTGCAGAAATAAAAACATGGAGCATCAACAGTCAAACAACACTTGTCTGTATAAGCGTGAGGGTTAGGGTTAGGGTGTCCCTGGCTCAGCAGCCATGGCTCACGGCCACGATTAGCTAGTGCCTAAAAGTCGGCATTGTTTCCTTGACCTCAACGGTGTCCCCATCTCGCTAACCCTTCTTTGCCAGCCATGGCACTGCCAGTGATCACTCCATAAAAGATCGTTTTCTTTCCTTTTCCAGATCCATTAGCTGGTAGCGGCAGCCAGCTTGTTTACAAAGCTGCTGTCATCCACGTGAAATAGGTGTTGTGAGAAATTGTGCTCACCTGTAATATTCTGTTTCTCTTAGACAATCAAGAGCAAATATTTCCAGATTCGCAGAACTTTGTCCATTATGAGGACCAAACAAGCTCAAATAACAGATGGTTAAACTGAGTGAGATTATGATCCTTTTACATAACTTTCAAAAATGATGAATAAGCTTGTAAAGAGTAAACAGGAATGTTTTTACTGTACCGTTTTTATTTTTTTAGGAGGACATATAGATAAAAATGACAGGCATAACATTACATTACATCATTTTACCGTAAAGGTTGATCACAAATGTTGTGAAAATTACCCCCCCCCCCCCCCCCCCCCCCCCCCCCCCCCCCCGACACGGGGTGGGGACAGAATAATTTAGGGGAACACAATTTCTCACAACACCTGACCTCCAGGCTGACGTCACCGCTCCTCCATGTGTGAATCGTGACAGCTTCAAGATCTAACAGCCCTAGCTTGCTTCCTTCAGGACTGGTAGGTTGATAAAACAGTCATAATTATACATGCTTTTTTAACTGGTAGAGTAGCTATATGCTTTGTGTGGGTTAGGCTAGACAGGTTGGAAACTCATGAGTGGGCCACCGTAGCTGCAATACGTTCTCTGAACTGCACGGCGCTAAAGAGTCGCATTTTTTTAATCATGATTTCAATGGATTTCACACATGGAACCTTTAAATAAATAATATAGTAATGTACCGAAAAATATTCTAACAGAACCCTTCAAACCACTGAGCACGTCATCTGTTGGGGCCTTATCCTTGATGTGCTTATCGATCTTAGATGTTTAATCCTGGACGATGACTCATACTCACTAGTCCTCGGCCTCCTTCCTTAAGGCTAGTGTACAGTCTAGAGGTGCAGGATTTGGGATGGCACCCTCCATGCATGGTTAGGAGCTTCTGTGTCATAACATCTGTGGTCAGTATTTCTTCCTTTGGCCAGCTTATTATTTCTGCAGGATATCTGATCACTGGCAGGGCGTAACTGTTTGCCCAGATCTTGTTCTTACCATTGAGCTGGCTTCTTAGGATTGGCCTTACTCCCCGTAGGTATTTCGCTGTGGCTCCTTTACTTATGGCTTCATTAAGGTTGCCATTTGCTTGTGGGAAACCAAAGTACTTGTAGCTTTCCTAAATGTCTGCTGTTGTTCCTTCTGGAAGGGATACCCCTTCTGTGTGGACTACCTTCCTGTTCATCGGCACCATTCGACCACACTTCTCAAGTCTGAATGATATTCTGATATCAATGTTGTAGTTCCTGGTGGCGTGGATCAGTGAGTCAATGTCTCACTCGCTCTTGGCGTACATGTAGAGACAAGACAAGACAGTTTTATTTATATAGCACATTTCCTACACAAAGTAAACTCCATGTGCTAGGGGAGGTGGCTGACTGTGGTTCCATTCTTGAGTCAGTATCCATAGCCAGTCTTGTTGAGTCTTCGTCTGGAACCCGGAGAGTACAGACGCTTCTCTTTTCTCTCCCTTATCTTTTTTTTTACCCAAGGCTCTTGTCCTGTCTGTCTACAGGGCGCTTCTTTGGTTAATTGGTCATTCAATGCGATTGACAAGATTTTTTCAACAATGAGAATGGAGCAGGGGTCTCCTACTTGTCCACATAGAATGCACTTGGTGTTGTATATTTTAGATTCCTGGAAGGAGTGGAATATTATACGCCTTTCCCAGCTGTCCGTGGAAGACATCAAAGATGTATGGATCTTTGGGCTGATAATTATTGGATTTCTTCTGTTTGGAGTGGGATTTTTGGTATTTTGGAAAATTGGGAAGACGGGGGCGATTGGAGTGCAATCCGTACCCATGGAAAGTCTCAGCCATTTGGAAACTGCTCAGACTGTGACGTTACTCGAGGTGAATCGCAATCTAGAGGTTCTAGCTGTGTTGGTGCGCAAGATGGATGTGATCTTGGAGAAAGTCAGTGCACGGTATGGGCAAGCTTAAACCCAAAAATTGGATTTACTGAGACTGGAATGATCAGTTAAAAACTGAAAGGCCAACCCAAACAATTGTTCTTATATGAATCTGGCGCCCTGGTAGCCTTGAGCTGCGAGAAGAAAAAACATCCAAGAAGGAAGGCAGACAGATGCTGTGAAAACCCAACCTTGCCTTTGGATTGGTGGTCTTAGCCTGGCCAGGTCATCAACTGAAGGAGTCAACATACTCTTCATTCTCTGTCGATCTCCCTCCCACCTGTGATTCAACAGTGATCGAGCGCCTTTCCAAAAGGTGGCTACTCTGGAGGGAAAACAGGGCCCCAGCACCCTCGCCTACCTATTGAAGTCTCATGTTGTGAACTGTTTAATGTACGTGCCTATATGTTTGAGGTGGTTTTTTTGCATAGCAAAGCTACCCCGTTGGGAGTAACTGAAATGTCTTTTTTTCCCCTCCCCATCTTATCCTCATGTACCCCTTGCTATTTATCAGCAATTGAGTGCCGTGATGGCCGCTCTCGTGGTCTGCCTGTATCTCTTTTGTTCTACATGTTTTGTGTGTGTAACCTTGGACAGGCTGTACTGCGGAGACACGTTTCTATGCTTCAGGATGCTGGGGCACTTACAATAAAGTTGATTCTGAGTCTCATTATTTGGCTGAGAGGGTGTATGCAGAACAGCAATGGGGACAGGTGGTGTCCTTGGCAAATGTCACATTTGATGGAGACTTGTACAATTTTCTTGAAATTGGCTTCAAGGGTGGTTTTCCACAGCCCCATTAAGTTTGCATAGAAGGCTCTTAGAGTCCTGTTGATGTTGTGCAGCTGCAATCATTCAATGATCCATGAACACTGCATTGTCATAGGCTATCTTGTAATCAATCCAGGCCGTGCACAGGTTTACGTGTCTGGATTTGCAGTTTTGGGTGATTGTTCGGTCTATCAGCAGCTGATGTTTGGCTCATCTGGCATCTCTACTTTATCTCATGCCCTTCTGTTATTGGCTGATAGTTAGATGGGACTGTATCCTTGGAGGGGTCCTTCAGGATCAAGATTGTTCGCCCTTCAATTAACCATCCATCCCACCCTTTAGCAGCTGGTTCATTTGTGCTGCCAGGTGCTCATGCAATGAGATTCTTAAGCCAGTAGGCATGGATTATGTCAGGTCGTGATGCTGTCAAGTTTTTCATACCTGATACTTTCTCCACTCTGTTATTATTACCTTGCCACACTTAAGCTGGTTGGGTCGAGGAGAGCCGGTTTATTCGTCTGACTTCACTTTCTCTCATGTGTCTCTTAAGCCCGGATCACACTGTGCGATTTTTGGCTGTTGAATAGGATTGTTCATGGCACATTGTGAGAACTCCAGAAAGGTGTCACACTGTACGGCTCAAGATGTCTGTTAGTCAGACTATACGATGTGTCGCTCCAGCAGGACATGCTACTTCATGAGCGCACCTCCTGAGATCATATGTCACTAAGCAGGCCGCTAACCACAACAAAGCTGAAAAGATAAAAACACTCCGCTCCGTGTGACATCTCACACCTGCTGTCACGCGCAGCTTCCTCTGTCCCTCTGCAGCAAAACGCTGCTGAACCATCCTTATCAGTTGGATATGTGAAATGTCCACCAACAGCAAAGGGATCTCATGTTTTTGTTGTTTTTTTTTTTGTTTGTGAGCACATCTCTCAGCTCTCATATATCACAAAATCATGGTTTTCACAATTCAGCGGATGGTCAAAAAATGTAGTTTAGTTATTTTAAGCATAACTCTGGTGTAAGTTGAGCTATGAACAATAATATAAACTGGTGTGTAGTTTATGATCTGCATTTTAAACATAAATTGAAATTGAAGCTCAGAGAGGTGGAACCTTGTTGCTGTGGCATCCCAAAGGTGTGTTTTCATTGGTCGGTTGCACACAGGAGTCAGCACGGTTGTAAACTGTTGGGGGCTGATTTGGGTTGTGAGAAGATTCAAAATGCTGTCGCGGAGCCGGCTAGACTGGATGACCACAGATTTGCAAATCACTCTCACGTTCACCATTTTTAAAATCACGATTAGGCTCCCAATGTGGGATTTTACTCAGACGGCCACAAATCGCACAGTGTGATTCGGGCTTTAGGCTCTTGGGTCCATATTTTCTCATTGTACCTTTCTGGAGCTCTGACAATTGGCTCACTTCTCTGTGTGCTGCCTTGATTTTGGCTATCAACCATCTTTTCCATGGTGGGTATTGTTGCTCTTATAGCCAAGCATCTTAAGAATCACTGCCGCTGAAGTATGTATCAGCTCATTCGTTTCAGTGATGGTGGTTGTGGGGATTGTTCTCAGGACTGCATTCACATCTCCAAGGATTTCAGATGGTACTTCACTTAAGCATTGTAGTTGGCATTGGGGTTGCCTGGTGTCTATCTATCAGGTCAATTGCTGCCTCGTTCATCGTTGTTTCACTTATTAGGGTTTCGTACCCATTCTCTGGATGGGGAGTTGATGTTACCTCTCCTCTGACCTTGTGTCCTGGCTCCCCCTTGCTGTAGCATTTGTGGTGTATCTTGTCAATGTCAAGTTGTGATAGCAGTTGTATGTGGATGTTGGAACACTGAGCTACTAGACATTTGACTGCTAGTGTTGAGTGCGGGCTTTGTAGTAACGATTCTTCCCGCATTCTCCGCAAGTAACCCTTCTGACTAGGGTTACTGGAGTAGTAGCATTAAAATAGATCCATGTTCTTACATCTCGCCCATTTTCGTCTTGTTTCAATGGCCCAATTTTCATCAGGGTGCTTTGGTTCCCCTACACCTTACGCAGACCTTGTTTGGCCGGGCAATGTCTGAGCCGGTATCTCATTCATTTCAGTTGGGGTAGGGAGGTATGAAGTATTATCATGATATGAGGTAGGCGAATAGCACCAAGTGTCTTGCCTAAGGGCCCACACTGGATGTTGGTATTTTTTTTGCCCCAACCCTGTTTGAAGTCCGGTGCTTATCTAGTTCAGCTATCCAGCTGCTATTATATATATCTACACAACATCACATGAAAATAATATTTGTACAACAATGTGTTTCGACTCTGTTGGCCAGCTAAAGGAGCCAGTTTATGACTGCGGGGTGTTGGTTTTGGCCGTACATACAGGAGTGATGTGTACGGCTTAAGGTGGGATACATTTGTGAGCCTCTAGATGGTGCAGTCAGTTAAAAAAATGATTTTGGGGTTATGAGACACAACAGTTCCCACTTAATGAAAATAAAATACCAATTTTATAGATATTAATTTGTTGGATGAATAATTCAATATTTTTGTAATTCAGTGTTTCTTTTGGTATTTCCTCAGCCATGTCCCATGAAGTGGAGCCTACAAGAGACATTCGTTGTGAGTTTTGTGGGGAATATTTTGAGAATCGTAAAGGTCTTTCCAGTCATGCCCGCTCTCACCTACGTCAAATGGGCATCACACAGTGGTCAGTCAATGGTTCACCCATTGACACCCTGAGGGAGATCATGAAGAAAAAAGGGACAGGTGGCTCATCCCAGTCCAACCAGGTTGTGAAGAAAGAGTTCAGCCATGGAGACATCAGTCCATTCTGGGAAAAAGTGGGTGGTGCCAGCAACTCGAAGAGTTTGGGTGTTTCAGGTTACCAATTCTCCAAATTCCGTAAATCTCCCCTCAGTTTAGTGCAGTCTGGATCAAAGTATCGTAAGCAGAGTGTAGGGGGTGTAGGTGCATCTTCTCCCCAATCGACAGGCAAATTTTTCAGGGTGTCCCCACTTGGCAAAAGGCCTTTATCAGAGTGCACCCAATCAGAAGAGTCTGCCAGCTCATCTACACATCGACTTAAGACTCTCTCATCACTTCCACATGACTTCTCCATTAAAAGAAAGCCATCACCAGACAAGCATGCACACCAGGGTAAGTTGTGTTTAATTTACTCATGCTGAATTCTGTTTGGTCATTGTTTTTACCCATTATCCTGATTTACTTCCTCCTTGTGGCTTTCAGACCCCAGCTGTGAGCTCTGTGGTTTCTACTTCGAAAACCGTAAGGCTTTAGCAAGCCACGCACGCGCCCACCTGAGGCAGTTTGGTGTGACTGAGTGGTCTGTAAATGGGTCTCCCATTGAGACGCTGAGTGCTTGGATGCGCAGCAGGCCACAGAAGGTGCTGGAGATGCACCGGAACTACATGCAGGGCAGTCGCTCTACCCTTAAGAAGGTGAGTTGTGGCTAATGTACTGAGTACCACTGAGGCCAGCAAGAGGGGCATCATGATTTGTTTGTTGTTTTCTCTTAAAAAAACAGCCCTATCAGTGGAATATTGGTCTTCTACAGAAGTTAAACAACTGCAGTGAGAGATCACAACTTATTGTGCTGTCCTTTTGACTCGGCCTCTCTCCTCCCTGATCCTTTGAATAGGCATAGTGCTTTGAGATCAAGCAGCCCTCAGCTGGTTGTACGAGAGACATGATGTTTCTTGGAAAACGTGCAGATGTCTAGCAGCTCTGCGTGCCACTGTAAATGTCTTTACTCTTAGTTTAAAGAAATGACTGGGGACAGATACTTAATCTTCAGATGCGTTATTGCAAGCAGCTGATGGATAAAATTACCCCCCCCCCCCCCAAAAAAATTATTTTCTAGAGCACCTTTTTTGTCTTTGTCACAGCTTTTGTAAGTTTTATACAGTGGGGCAAAAAGTATTTAGTCAGCCATCGATTGTGCAAGTTCTCCCGCTTAAAATGATGACAGAGGTCAGTAATTTTCATCATAGGTACACTTCAACTGTGAGAGACAGAATGTGAAAAAAAATCCATGAATTCACATGGCAGGATTTTGAAAGAATTTATTTGTAAATCAGGGTGGAAAATAAGTATTTGGTCACTTCAAACAAGGAAAATCTCTGGCTCTCACAGACTTGTAACGTCTTCTTTAAGAAGCTTTTCTGTCCTCCACTTTTTACCTGTATTAATGGCACCTGTTTGAACACATTATCTGTATAAAAGACACCTGTCCACAGCCTCAAACAGTCAGACCCCAAACTCCACTATGGCCAAGACCAAAGAGCTTTCAAAGGACACCAGGAAAAGAATTGTAGACCTGCATCAGACTGGGAAGAGTGAATCTACAATAGGCAAGCAGCTTGGTGTGAAAAAATCAACTGTGGGAGCAATTATCAGAAAATTGAAGACATACAAGACCACTGATAATCTCCCTCGATCTGGGGCTCCACGCAAGATCTCATCCTGTGGGGTCAAAATGATCATGAGAACGGTGAGCAAGAATCCCAGAACCACACGGGGGGACCTGGTGAATGACCTGCAGAGAGCTGGGACCACAGTAACAAAGGTCACCATCAGTAACACACTACAACGGCAGGGAATCAAATCCTGCAGTGCCAGACGTGTTCCGCTGCTGAAGCCAGTGCATGTCCAGGCCCGTCTGAAGTTTGCCAGAGAGCACATGGATGATACAGCAGAGGACTGGGAGAGTGTCATGTGGTCAGATGAAACCAAAGTAGAACTTTTTGGTATAAACTCAACTCGTCGTGTTTGGAGGAAGAAGAATACTGAGTTGCATCCCAAGAACACCATACCTACTGTGAAGCATGGGGGTGGGAACATCATGCTTTGGGGATGTTTTTCTGCTAAGGGGACAGGACGACTGATCCGTGTTAAGGACAGAATGAATGGGGCCATGTATCGTGAGATTCTGAGCCAAAACCTCCTTCCATCAGTGAGAGCTTTGAAGATGAAACGTGGCTGGGTCTTCCAACACGACAATGATCCCAAACACACCGCCCGGGCAACAAAGGAGTGGCTCCGTAAGAAGCATTTGAAAGTCCTGGAGTGGCCTAGCCAGTCTCCAGACCTCAACCCCATAGAAAATCTGTGGAGGGAGTTGAAAGTCTGTGTTGCTCGGCGACAGCCCCAAAACATCACTGCTCTCGAGAAGATCTGCATGGAGGAATGGGCCAAAATACCAGCTACTGTGTGTGCAAACCTGGTAAAGATCTATAGTAATCGTTTGACCTCTGTTATTGCCAACAAAGGTTATGTTACAAAGTATTGAGTTGAATTTTTGTTATTGACCAAATACTTATTTTCCACCCTGATTTACAAATAAATTCTTTAAAAATCCTGCCATGTGAATTCATGGATTTTTGTTTTCACATTCTGTCTCTCACAGTTGAAGTGTACCTATGATGAAAATTACTGACCTCTGTCATCATTTTAGGTGGGAGAACTTGCACAATCGGTGGCTGACTAAATAATTTTTTGCCCCACTGTATATGAGCACAAGAGTTTCATGGATTATCAGTTTTACTGTTAACCGCAGGATGAAATGGCGGAAGATTTTTAATTGAGACGTTGAGATTTCCCCAACTCCAACATCAGTAATGAAGAAAAAAGTTACATGGTAAATGACCTGTATTTGTATAGTGCCTTCCTAGGGTTCTACAAACCCACAAGGTGCTTCACAACATACATTTACACACATTCACATACTGCCCTGGGGCGCACTGACGGAGGAGAGGTTGCAGAACACTTGTGCTAACAGTCCCTCCGACAACCACCAGCAGGCTGCAGCCTGCAACTGCAGCAATCTCTGGTCGGAGCCGGGATGGAACCTGCAACCTTCCAATTACTGGATGACCCGCTCTACCTCCTGAGCTACTGTTGTCCCTATATATATATTTGTATATATCCATTCATCTGCCTTCCTGCCCACCCACCCACTCACCAAAACCAGTGGAGTGCAATTCACACAGACACATCTCACATGGAAGTCTCTTGTCTGTACGGCTTTAAGTGGGCCGGTACACTGTACCAAGCACTGGCGACTGGTGAATAATTGTTTTTGGTTGAGTGCATTTTAACATGTGTTGTGCCGAAAAGAACATGCCAGCCGAGATTTGCATGACCTGTTATGGGTAAGTGCATATGAATAACAAGGTTTTTAAAAACATTTTTACTAATACGGGATCCTGACGCGTTCTGGAAAACCTGGAAAATGATAGACCAATTTTCCAGTCATGGAAAACACATGGAAAATGGGGGAATTGCAAAATGGCCTGGAAATTTTTGAGTTGTCCTGGAAAATAATTTTCCCTCGTGGATAAACAAACGGATTAAGCATTTTGGGCAATATTGGGCTGTAGCGCTTTTCCTTTCATTTTTGCATCTAGCCGGCACAGCGCCCCACGTGATGCCTCCAACCAATCAGATTCCATATTCCCCTTCAGTTCCAGTTCCACTTCTGTTTTTCCAACTGTCTTTTTGGCTAGATTTACAGATTTTTCACCCCAAGGGCCAAAAGTAGAGACTCGGTTCACGAGTATTGCTTTATCGCAGTTTATAGAGTGAGAGGTTTTTCTCCTCCTCTCTGTTGAGTGACAAAGGAGCAGCGGAGAGCTTTTGTTTTTTTTTCACTCATGCCTTGAGACGAGCGAACATGATGAGAGCTTCGGGATAGCAATGGATAGCAGGTAGTCTACCGGACCTGCGCTCCACTCAGTAATTCATTCTTGTTCCATCGTCCAACAGCAGAAACAAAAATATGTGAATGAGAAAAATGTCATGAATTCAGTTCTATCAAACTACTAAGTATGTGCTCAGAGGGCAGAGCCTCAGCTGTTCATACTGTTTTTAGCTAGCTACACAGACCGCAGCCAGGAGGCAGTGAGAACTGAAGACTGGCATGGTCATTTGAACAAAGTTGTTAATGTAATTAAATTGAATTCAACACGGCTAAATTAATAACTAGAATGATTTGAAGTGGTAACTATATATTTATCATAGTAATGCTACGTACAGTCCAGACTAAAAAGGTAGCAAACAACTACAAGTACTTATCTCTGAGGTAGAAAAAAAATATTTTTTCAGGTCCAATATGTCTGTGGTGTTAGCGGGAGATATTAGCCTAGTCATCTACCCTGAATCTTGTTTCTGGATGACTGGACTAACCTAAAATGACCAATACTGGAACAACAAAATGCTGTTTAACATCTATCTAATTATGTGAAATAAGCAGTAAAGTGTAATGTGGTGTGTACATTATGTTGCTGCCCCTTGGCATCCAAGAGAAATAAGGAGGAGAGCTTCAACGGGTGCAACTTTTTATTTGCGTCAGGCTGTAGATGCACACATCTCATTCCCAGAATTGCACCGAGCAGCTGGTGCCAATCGCTGTGTAAACACTGTGAAAACTGAAAATACATAGTTTACAAACAAATGAAAGACAATCGCTGACAAACATCAGGAACAACAAACCGAAACAAAGAACAAATACCTTGCTCCTCTTGCCATGGGGTGCAATCAAAGTAATGTCACGCAGAGGCTTGGCACAGCAAGACCATGGACTAAATGTACAAGCATTTGTTAGGGCGACACGTTCTTATTAATCAATTTTAGTCAAAATACCCGCACTTACGTGGAAGTTTGGTCTGCTGCAACACGCCAAGCCAGGTGGAATGCCAACGCCACGTCCACATCCGGGTTAACGCCCACTTATATGCAATTGAATGAGTTACGTTGACAATCCACCTGCTTGCAGCCATTTACACTCCCACCAAATCATGATTTATGCAAAAAAATAAACTTCACTTTATTTTAAAGTAGACAAATGGCAGTTAACAGTACTGTATTTTACTTCCTAATTAAAAACAAAGAGCAAAAACGTAACTCAACTAACACAACCAGTTTTTGTACAGAACGTTCAAGAACGGACACATGGTTCTGTCTATCATTCAGACCTCTGTTTCCCATCTGAACCTTAACTCTTCGGACTATTCCTTCTTTTCCCTCTGCAGTGCCAATCACACGACCCAGTTGCCACTGACATCTTGGAAGTACATCATCTTTAACAAGGACTATGTCATCCACCTTTACATTGCGGCGCAGTTTGTGCCATTTCTGTCTGAGAGAGATGTTACTGAGATATTACCATACCATACCATACCACCTTTATTTGTATAGCACTTTAAAAACACAGCCATATGTCTGACCAAAGTGCTGAACAGTCACACAATAATAGAGATAAAAAACATAAAACAGTACTATAAAATACAGCCAACAATAAAAAAAAAGACAAGCCGATAAAAAAGCACCAATAAAAACCTTACAATGGATGATAAAATAAGAGTAGTAAAAGTCAAATTAACAGCTAACTGTTAAAAGCAAGGGTAAAATAGTGTGTGTTTAGACTTAAAATCTGCCGAGG